ATTAAGTAAATCATAAATACATTATTTTGATGTAAAACAGTTATCGTAATACATAGACATCTGACCGGGTAGTATCTCAGATTTTGTTATTTTCTGATGCTTGTACGCACTGAATACTTCTGCCCTAATCAATATAAGTTTTTGAAACTATAATAAGTGAAATGTATCAATGGCAGATCTCGTCAATTACTTTAAAAAACATTTATTTTTAACATTTTCAAATATGTCTGCCACAATGTTGAACGCGAGGTAATGTTCAGCCATTATTATTTTCCGTTCACAATAATAATATATTTCAAAATATCAAAACGGCAAACGTCGTCAAATGCATTTAAAATTACTAAAAAATTGATACCTGTCCTACCTGCGCACTCACCGCGTCCACCACTTTGGGCTTAGTGAGGTCCCATATCATGTACGGTAGGTATTGGGGCCTCAATGTACAAAAACCTAAGTCTGGTCAAATACATGCAGGTAGCCGCTCACTGGCTCTTAGACTATAGGTACTATTTGAAACATGAACTCTCAAATTATGAAATAAAAAAAATTGTTAAATGAGCCCATTCGCACACTTTCCGAACCTGACTAGACTCCGCTACGTCATGGTAATGCTTATATAACTCGATGGAAGTCTTTCTCGAACAGAAGCAGCGTTCCAGATTTTTCAAAAGACATACAAGCGAGGCTGAGCCGTTGTCTATAGATTTATAGTCAGTCAACCTTATGGAGTTATCATTGTATAGATGAAATTCATGGTAAAGCTTTAAGAATTGTAAGTGATGTAATTTGGTATTATATATCACATACAATAGATAAATCATTCATAGAAGGAATAAAATGTCGAAGTCGGTCCCTATGTATAAAAATATAGGCCCTAAATCTCAAGTGGCTAACTACCGTAATGTTTACTTACAATCACAAGTTACAAATGTCATCGATTATAGTTATTATCTGAGAATGGTGAATTTCATCGAGTACCACAAACTTATTCCTAATTGCCAACATGGCTTAAGGCAGCAAAGATCAAATTCAACAGCAATGAATGAAAACAGCAATGAATGAACTTTGCAGTAGCATATATACAAGTCTCAATAACAAGCAAATACCAGTTGGCCTATTTTTTTATTTAACTGCTCAAAATTGGAATCAGGGGAGTTGATAATGACAGGGTTGCCTCATATATAAAAAATAGGACACAAGTGGTAATGGTTGATTCGATGAAGTCACATCCTCCTTCTGTTACAATGGGAGTTCCGCAGGGTTCAATCCTGGCTCCAAATATTTTCATACTCTTCATGAGTGATCTAAAAAATTCTAATATGTCACAACAAAAAAACAATAATCTATGCAGATGACACAGCTCAAATGGTGGCACAAAATGAGTTACCTCTTTCCATAGAAACAGCAAATGGGTTAACAGTAAATGTCATCAAAATGGTATTTATGATATTCCAGCAAAAACACATTTCCACACAGTCTAACCATCGATCAAAAACTAATATGGGAAGTACCTACAAATAGAAAATATAGTAACAAAACTGAGCAGCATATGTTTTGTAATGAAACAATTACGTGGAACTGTCTCGCTGGAAGTGCTAAAATGAATATACTATGGACTTGTGCAGTCTATTTTATCTTAGGGATTGCCCTTCTGGGGAAACTCAGTTCATGCCATGAAACCATTTGAACTCCAAAAAAAAGTGATAAGATACCTAGCTGGACTTCAGTATAAAGAATCATGTAAGAAAACATTCACTCAGCTGTTCATACTTACTCTTCCCTGCCTATACATATATGTAGTAGCTGTAAGTATTAAAAAAAATTAATCTCACTACACAAAAAATAATATGTGCCATAACTACAACACACGAAGGGGTAACGAATTGAGACTACCCTACTCACGTTTGGCGGTGGGGCAGTTATCTGCGAGTTATCAAGGCATCATTTACTATAACCATGCAGTCAAACTATTTGGAAATAAATGCAGTCTGCCAACATTTAAAACGAGACTATANGACAGAACATCGAAAAAAGGTAAAAATATATTCAATAATTATATTTAAAATTTCATGTTATTAGATCCCTTCAAATGTAAAATGATATTAAATGGCCATTGTTTTTCCAAATAATCTTGGGACATATAACATTTCACCTTCTGGTGCATCCTCTCCACATACCTAATGTGAAAAATTATGCATTAAAATTTGCCATTTTAATTTCTTTGGTCTTTGGCTACTACCCTTGTAAAACAAGTGACCTAATTTTCAAGTTGGTGTTAGTAATTTTGCAAAAAATATTTTTTTTTATTTCAGAATATGTGATGAATGTGCACTAACTGGTAAAATTTTTATGAATAATGAGATTATGTTCATCAGCAAATTTACCTAATTGAGTTAGCCTTTTGTTTCTTTTACAATTTTATCTTCATTTCCAGATGTCTGGCAATAAATGTACCAACAACAAATGTGGACTCTCAACTAGAAATGACCATAGTTTGAGTTTTTTCCGTTTTCCAGTCAAAAATCCCACAAGATGTAAACAATTGATAATCTATTCAGGTAAGAAACCTCAACAGTTCCCAAAATATATCAATTTAAAAATATGTTGATGTAAAGTGACTTCCAATGGATTTATTATTCTGCAAGAGTCCTACTCTTGTATCAATATTACAAAAAAATTCAACAACTATCTTCATGTGAAAGTTTTGCAAACGAATAATGATATATGGTTCTTTTTGTCGCCCTTATCTAATTGGACCACCAAAACAGACCCTTGTGGAAAGCTGTTTTTGACAGTTTGGAAGTTTGACAGAGTATCATGAACATTACCTACTAGTTGTTGGCAGTTTGTCAGATAGGTTTTTATTTAATGAAGCGAAATACCTGTAATCCCTAATTTTCTCAACAGTATTTCATGTAAGGCACAGTTTTGGTTAGATCGTAAAGCTTTAGGGTAATTTGATTGCCTTGCTCAAGTTCTTCAACCACGCCTGTCACCATCACCACCAGCGCTTTGCCGAATTTTGAAAAATAATAATTATCAGTTGATGATTGTCAATGACTGTTGCATCAATTTTTTTTATAAAGGTTTCCTGATATGTATGGAAACAGTCGATTATTTCTTAAAGTAAGATATCTAGCCAAAAATATTAAAATACAGAAGTTTTAGGTTGTTTCCAAATCTACCACACTAAATAAAAATTTGGTTAACAGAATAAGTCAAAAAGTCTTGAAAAAATAAAGTTGCTTTTTCTTCAATAGAACATCTTATGTATTATTCCATATTCTCATTCTAATTGAAATTCTGAACAAAATTGATATAGCACATCATTTCCTAAATTCAACCGTTTTCGAGATATCGAATTTTGAAAATAACTTTTTACTACTCTAAAATTTATTAAAGAAAAAACACGAAATGATGGATATTTATTATGAAAGTCACACAAGGTGGAGTATGTGGACACAGTTCACAGTTTTCAGACCCTGAAAACCCGCCAGATACCAGAACAAAAGTTGTCCGCCATAATGGAGCCGCCATTTTGTTTTATTTTTTCTAACAAAAATTTCATAATGCATTTTAATCGGAATTATCTACACTTACCAAATTTCAAATCAATTGGATGATTAAAAGTGTATCAAATTTAACTTGCAAGATTTGATTACAGACAGATACCGATATAGGTGAAACTAAATAAAATCTTGTAAAAATAAAAACTTTAACAAGTTGTTTTATCGAGTTACCAATTAGTATTTTTTCTTTTTCAGGCAACATCACATTGCCTGGTCTGAGCTAAAAATCACTAAGTAACAAATTTTTGTGCAGCAGACATTTCAACCCACGATTTCTTCAACACAAACGGTTGCCAGGATCATTGGATTGGAGGAGTCTTCAAATTCAAGTAAAGCATCAGAAACATCAAATGCACCTGCAGATACAATAGATGATTTTTCCGCAACAGTGGAATCCTGCGCAGTAATATAACTTGCTGGTTACTTAGTAAAAAAATGTTTAGATCGATGTAAATGTCGTGAATGTAGAGTTATTTTACAAAACGAAGAAGATTTGGCAGATGATGATGAGCTATTGACTTTTTACAAAAATTACAATATTCAAAACTCAAGTGGTTTGAAAACGCCCTCAAATTTTATGAGGCAATTCACATACAAGAATGATGTGTTATAACCAGTATATCAAAAATACTGTGCCAAAAACATAATCAGCAATATTAGAGACAAAGCAAATAAACAACTTTTTAAGTATCTTCCTGAATGGTTTGTGGCACAAGAAAAATGTAAAAAACACTGAAAATATATTATTGATCTGTTGTTAAACACACAAGTTTTCAAATACTGTAAAGATATTTCAAGTAGATTAAAAACAAGGGCAGGGGCAAAAAATGACAAACTTAGTATTTTAACATAATTAGTTATAGTAATCAAATACCAACTAAAATAATCATTGCTACTCAATCCACTGTATGATATGAATGAAATTTTTCTTCATTCATGGGTCTTAATACTCATTTTTTGCTTGTTAAGAGTGTGGACTACAGATTTTGTGATTAATGTTTCTGTGTTTTCCATCTGCGTGCCTCTAAAGTTAAAACTGTTTGTATAAGTGTGACTGGTTTTATATATGTAAATATCTAATTTTTGATACACTTAAAATTTTTTTCTTTATTCTTATATATTTTTTAGTTTGAGAATACTCTCTACAATATTGTGACCNAATTCAAGGTCAACATTATTTCATTCATAATTTTATTTTGCTCTTTCATCAATGAAAGTTTTGCTTTCCTTCCGACGAAGGCGCCACATTACAGGACAAAATTTCAGAATTTCTAGTGAAAAAATATAGATGGCTCTGGCAACCTCCAATCCAATGCTTCTTTACATTGTGGTTGACCGACTATAAATCTTTAGACAATTGCTGAGCGCAACTTTGAGCAAGTCGTAAGAATTTATGGCTCTATACTTCAGGTATATTTAACTAATTTAATTTTTTAGAATACATTAAATACATTGTATTTACTCGAATAAAATTCAGAGAACATATTATCATTGCTCTTGGTACAATATATTCATACAAATTGCCTTTCAAGTTATCTACGATATATTTCTGGGTAAATATTATTTATCGCGAATATCTAAAATCTTTCTAAAATTTTATATAGCCACAACTCCTCATACAGAACAACTTTTTTTCAGTGAAATTCTGACGTAACAAACAAAAAAGGAACATTTCCAGGATTTCATTTATTTATGCGTGTTCGTTTTATAACTCAATTTACACCCTCGAAAGCTTGGCAAAGTAAAAAAATAGTTTTTCTTATAACACCACTACTTTGCTAAAAATACAAACTTACTCTATACATTAAATATGACTAAACGAAAGTTTTGAATACAGAAAGAAGTATGTCTCATAGAATTTTTGTTGAAAAGATCCAAATCAACAAATAACAAAAGAGTATGAATAAAAAAACATATTGAAAATCAGAGTAATATTTATAGTATACTAGAGATGGATCAAGCTACAAATATAAATAATTCATTAGATTATTTTGAAATAATATTACTTTTGTCATTACAGTTACCTGTCAAAATGACATCTATGAAACAGTTCTCAATTAGTGTTATGCTATACATTTTCCTGCTCAATTTAGAAATATATTGCATTTGGCCACCTGCTTATAAGGTCAACTTAACCGATGAGGAAACCTTCGAAATCTTTGACGCTTTGAAGAACAGCGACGTTCAGGATGTGTACGACGAAGAAGAACTGATCAAAAGAGAAGATTTGGAAAAGCTCGGCATCAAGTCTCACCCTGAGAAATATTTCCGAATCCATCACAGCCTTCGAAGGAAAAAAAAAGATATCAGTACAAAAGACAAGAGAATGAAGAAGAAAGTATTTGAAACATTCAATCCGGATAGCGAGTATTCACTACCGTGGAAGGGAGGATTCGTAAACGAAGAAGGAAGTTTTATCAAAGTGAGACAGTGTTCACTTCTGGCAATAAAACATAATTTGTAGAGTGAATTTAATATAATTGAAAGCAGGAAAAATTCATGGACGGAGCACTCAGAAAATATTTAATTATAAAAATAATAATGGGAATTATTCTACTTTGGACCAAGGTCCTTGGTCTTCCACCATATCCACCATGTATAGGAATATTCAATACAAATGAAAGGAAACAACAGTCAAATAATATTGTACTTGTTGTTTTCAACTATTATTTTTTCTATCTTCACGACCCGAAATTTCCCAACTTTTCCAAGTCGAAAAAACAGCGAAAAGTTGGGAATATTGTAAAATTGTCACTTCAAAATTTGTGGACTGTTCAGGATGTTCTCTTGGGAGAAATTGGATTTTTTTGACGTTTTCAAACAACTCAGAATTTCAAAGTATGGGATCTCCAAGTCGAAAAGGCAGGGGGGAAGGTTCCCTTGCAATCTGGTTGCAGTTTCTGAAGTTGAAATTGTGACCTGTATCAAGGTAGTGTTTGTATATGTCTGAGGTTGTTTGTTTGTTGCGAAGTAAGAGTTTTTTTTTGACCGACGTATTCTCACCTGCACCCTTATATATACCTTGGTTTTCTAGGTTGACTTTGTCTTTAGGGTTGCTTAAGTAATTTCTGATGGTTCTCGAAGGTTCATATGTTGTTTCTATGTTGTGTCGCTTAAGAATTCTCCCTAATTTAACTGTAACAACTCTGACATAGGGCCGAATGACTTGAGTTTCTTCTGTTTTTGTTTTTCTTTGTTTCCATTTTTTCTGAGTGTTACTTTGTGAATTGTATGATTTTTATATCCATTCTGCTGAAGAGTGTTTTGTATGTCTTACATTTCTTGTTCCTTCGTGTCTTCGTCTGGATTTAAGGGTGTTGGCTACCTTTTGTATTTGTTCCGCCGCGTTTAGGTGTCTGTTAAAACGTTTGGTTTCCTATAGATATGAAACGATCAAGTTCTCCATATCCACGAGGCCAAATGATGGAAATGTCGTTAACATATCTCGGTCATAATTTGGGTTTCTTCGAGGGATTTTCATCAAGTACTCTAATTAGTCCTTCACATTTTGTCTTCTATTGAGGACCGCCTGCCCATCACTGATGATGCCCAACAGGCTGAAACAGCTGTGTACCGGGTCTTGAATTGAAATCAAATTAAGAGTGATCGGAACAGTACTCTGCATTAATCTTTCTTGATTTCATATTTCTAGAAACATAGAACGCCTGTCCGATATTGATGAAACCCAATAGTCTGAAACAGCTGTCTAACTTATATTGTTTTTTTTTATTTATATGTTCGAAATCAACTGATTTCAACATTAAAATTTCAATGAGAGCGAATGTATGATCTATATACAGTTTCACAATGAAATGAAAAAGCTAGATGAACTTTGCAACAACAAAGAAGAATTTCTGGAGGAGCATTCATTATTTGCATGATAACAGGTATCTTCTGGAAAGATATGACATCGAAGTCTCATATTTTTCAAAATTATGAAATTTGAATCATGTTTCTCTTGAATCACTAGAGCAAGATTCAAATAATCAAAAAATGGAAAAAAATTAAGTGAAGACAGTTCAAATTTTAAGAAAAGATATATAATTGGAATACAAGCTACTTTTTTCTGACATTTCGAAATTTCAAAAAAAAACTTCATTTCTTCAAGGATTNATTTCGAAATTTCAAAAAAAAAACTTCATTTCTACAAGGATTTTTGAAAAAATCTCAAGTTCGACAGATTTAGAGTAGCGCATGAGAGAAGGAAGGAGGCTGTTTTTTACTCACTTGAGCCCAAAATTTATGTGTTACACTGTAAATATATTATGCTATTCAACTAGTAAACTGCCTTATAAATAGGTGGAAATTATAAACAAATATTAACTATCATTAAAATCAGGATGAAGATGTGATCTACTTCAATCAAGACGCTATCATCTTTGAGGAACATAAAGAAAAAAGGGACGATAAAGTGGAGAATAAAAACGAAAATTACGACTACTCTAAACTGAAACAAGAATATAAAGAAGAACTGAAAACCGTTGTGAAATCGAACGAAACATTGAACTATACTGATACAAAAGAAGAGGAATCTTTGAAAGAATCAGTTAGATCTCTTATAAAGAAGCCACTAAGAAATTGTACAGATGAAGAAAAGAAAGGAATAGGTAAATTAGTGTTCTTCTGATTTTTCAAAAGCTTTTACAAAGTTAAAAATGAGCTCTTGATTCATAAACTTTGTTCATACGGTGTTGATGGGCTGGCATTGCAGTGGCTCGAGAGCTACATTACGTAAAGAACGCAAACTGTCAGGGTTAATCATTATTATTCTAACACCATCTTAGTTACATCGGGTGTTTCACAAGGATTACACTTGGGACCACTTATGATGCACTGTTTGGAACCTTTGGTGTAGTAATGAATATTACTGGAGTTTTTTCCCAACACCAAATCGTTATTTTTAACACCTCGACACGTGTTTCGATCACCAAGTGATAATCTTCCTCTTTGAAGATTTGTACTACCAAAAAAGACACTTAGCCAGAAATTTATTTGGTTTACCCCATGATTGTAAGGGGTGGAAAACGCAACCCCTAAAATTTATTTCCAATGTAACTTTTTGTCTTATTATTTGTTTACCATTTAAAAATTTATTTCCGATAGCCTGTTTCATTCTAAATAAAAAATGTCTCTTGGGTTTTTGCCCAAAATAAACCAGTTCGTATATGCATTACGTTAACAAGCTTGTATGTAAAAAATGGTTTTAGTCATCTCCTGATGATGTACTTGTGATGCACTGTTTGGAACCTTTGGTATAGTAATGAATATTACTGGAGTTTTTTCCCAACACCAAACCAGTTATTTTAACACCTTGACACGTATTTTGATCCCCAAGTGATCATGTTCAATTGGAAGATCAAGCAGTTTGCATAATGAGGGTCATTAAATAAAAAAAATGGCGGAACTACATTTGTTTGAAGTCCTAAGATAACTTTCAAACTCACTTTTCACCCCTTATTACCCATTATAATTTCAAAAGAAACATAAAGGTAAGAAAACATTTTCTGATTTCAGGAATACTTGCTATCGAATGTCTTCTTACAGACCTAAACAAGCCTAGGATGAAGAACCAGTTTCTTGAAAAACTTGTGAGAATTGTAGCCGTTTGGTTTGCGGTTTACTTAATCATAGTAATACCCTGCTGGTGTCAATATGGTGAGTTTAATTTTGATAGCAATAAATATTTGTAAGTTCCTAGCTGAAGTTTGCATTCACGTAGTTGAATGACATAGTTGCAATTAACAATAAATGAAAGTTATAAAAGAATGCCTAACCCATGTAAGAAGAGAGCATATTCAGAAGTGAAAAGTTACCTTTATAATAATATAATATAAATGGTTATTTTATTTTTGAAATAAATTTTCAATAAAATCAAATAATAATTAGGGTAAGTAAGGTAACTATGGAAAATTAAGAGAATAAGAAAAAGTAAAGTAAAACATCGTTCAAAATATTAATTGATCGATAAAGTTCATTGATGAATTTTAAAAAATATATTCAATTCGTTACATATACATGAAAGAATAATTTGAATAACCATTACATTCACTTCAAGGCACTTCTGAACTTGTTCCACGTCATTTTTAATAACCTAATTTTAAAATGACCTTAAGAAAAATCCTCACATCCTCAGCACAATCAATAAGAAGGTTAGGATATGTGTTGAAATTGGCCCGGTACTTGATGAAAATCTATAACGTATTCAAGTAACTTTATTGAATGTTTCGATCACCAAGTGATCATCTTCAAGAGGTACACTAAACCGGTTTAATATTCCTTCATATATCCTTTGGACAAAGTCGAGAATTCGGAAAAGTCTACAATTTACGAAATCAAATGTAATGTAATGCGGCATTTTATTGTTCAACAATTACAAAAAGAAACAAATACAATAATAATAATTACAAATAATAATTACAAATTAATAATAATACAAAATTAATAATAAAACAAAATTAATAATAATATATAAATATTTCTTATCCCCTGCCATTGCCATTGTGATGGTTGAAGAAAAATATCATAAAGATCGGGGTCGGCCACCCGGTTTTTCGATATCGATACCTTTCCAACAGAGTAAGCGGTGAATTTAATTTATGATTGTTGAATTTTGGCGGCATCATGAAGGTTACGTTTCGTTCAGGCTAGACTAAACAAACGTATTCTGTTGATAAATTATAATACTGGGAACGCGAAAATGCAAGCTACGAGTTTACATTTCAGCTTCGTGGACAGAAAGTTCGGCCATATCTGAATAGGGCCTGAAAATTTATTTAAAATAAAAACTGACAAATGAGTTCGATAAAAAGAAGATAAACGTCTTGAGTAGGAAGGGTTATAGAAAAATTCGGGAATATTAAACAGAGATCAGACCAATCAGGGAACGGTACAAGGGAGGAGTGTTACGGACAGTTTTTTGTACTTGGGGAATACTAATTAGGCGGTTAATTGGAACAGGGGCTATCGGACAGTTGCGGAAGAGGGTCGCGAAAGTCAGTAGCGGAAGAGGGTTGCGAAACGGGGTTTTGCGATAGAGGACTTGCAAAAAGAATCCTTGGCGAAAGAGAGTTGCGATCTGACAGTTGCGGGAAGTCGGTCGCGAAAGTGAATTGCGATAGAGAAGTTGCGAAAGTCAGTTGAAAAGTCAGTTGCGAAAAGATTCCTTCGCGATCGAGACTTAATTGGGAGAGTTGCGACAATGGACTTTCCGAAAAGGGATTTTGCGATAGTGGAATTACGGTAAATTATGGTCAGTGAGTTAATTGTTGTTTCATTTGGTGACACTTAGAACGAATCAGTATTTCAAATAGATACTGTATCACAGAGGGAGACCAGAACCCAGTATAGTATTGTGAGTCAATTTGGATTTTTACTAACCCCCATATCGGTCTAGAGAGAGAGGATGTCATTTTAATTTTGTAATAATTGTCTTATTGTTGTTACGTCTTGGGGACAATATAAAAAGGGCAATAAATTACACTACACCCCTTTCATATGTGTAAATATCATAGCAATTAGTACACACGGATTTGAAACTAAAAAATAGTATGGCGGCCAGGCAATTTCAAATAATCATTTCAGAATTTCCGCAAAACTCGATTAGAGTAATTTAGGTTTTCGTGTAAGTTGGAATTCTACCTTATGAGAGAATATATAACATTTCACAAGTTAATAAAGAGATAATTTTTGTTTGAGAATCATCTATTTTAGATGTCCTTTCTTGTTAAATTTTGATCTTACCTTTCGAACATTTTTGCTTATTGCTCATGTTACATTTTTACACAGTTATTTGTTAAGGTCTATAAACATACCCGTTTTTTCTATCTATTTGTTTTGTAATATAAGCCTAATCTGAAGCTTCTTGTTGTTTTTAATGGCTCACTATTCGAGCAAGTTCCTCATCATTTCAGAGTAGTTGAAAGACCTTTAGTTGAAAGTATTAGCTTCCTGCATCGTTCCAGAGTGGATCTAAGAAGGAAAACAATCTCAAAAAGGTACACGACGTAGTTAGGTTTCAAAAAGACCGGCCTTCGTGCAATCGGCAGGAACCCCACAGCTTTTTTTTGGACCTGCCTTGATATTCAAAATTTGATGTGGAGAAATCTGCATCTGGTGACAGCCGCCGCCAAATTAATTTCAGAAAATAAATGAATCAGAAATGAGCATTTATTACACTGAAAACGGTCGATATATTCAATAATAGATAAAATCATATATACATACATATATTGGTTATATTACAATAGGGACTGCGATGTAAAATATTATGGACTGGCAAAAAGATCTTTTAAAAATTAGATATGAGGAACACTTAGCACAACTAAAATATTGAAGACCAGAAAAGTCAGCAGTCATCCATCACGTTTTGTAATAAAACCATTCCATAGACTTTACTTCATTAAGATTAATTAGTTACCAACAACAGGCATCTAGATGTCTAATATGAGAGCTTAGAAATAAGTTGTACTATATCATATGTCCATCAAGAAAACAGAATGTACTCTTGCTAGAGCTGTGAAATAAATTGGACAAAGATTCTTTGCATATATCTGACCACGATTATTGAATATTACACCTAATTCATTGAAAGCTTTTTTGTTTTGTAACGTTTTCAATGAGTTGAAAAAATGGTTGCTATACCGACACTTGTTTGTAGGATGTGGTGAATTACAGGTTTGGGCTGAGAATGTTCAGAAATTTGTTGACGATAAACTTTGAATAATTACAATTACAAGCCTTATTGAAATTTAATGGTGGCTTGTGGCTTTTTAAACAATAGAAAACATAAACAAAAAATAAAAGTCCTCATAAAAATGAAAATAAATTATATGTTGGTTTAAATTGGTAGTGTTACCAAAAAACTTGAGAACTCTCTTGCAAATTCGACACTGAACTTGACCATTTTCTGTTTTGTCGAAATGTTCCCAAACAATAGATTTCTTAGCTCCAGGGTGCATCATTCAATATCAAAACAGTGCCTAATAATGACGGAATAAAGGTATCAACTACACAATAAGTAAGAGCAGAAAAAATAGTGGAATATATGAGTAATAACAGAAATTTCGTTGCAACGGTTTGAAATCCTCCAAACTGAAAAATTATTGCCACTGTTTCAATTTCAATGTTCTCTGTTTGTATTCTTAGTGCGACAAATTAAAACAATTCTGACTCATAAAATAGTCCAGTTCATTCCGAATTTCGGCATGTAGCCGATTTATGATACCCGCCTTCAAGCGAATAGAAATCTTAAAGCAAATTAATGTGGGCGTTCCACAAGGCACATAATCTCATGAGCATCGAGTGATTGCGTGCTTATTGCTCGCATTGTCGGATCTCGAAATAAAATCGGTGAGTGAGAAGTGACATAGTATCCGAGTGATTTCATTCGAATGATATTTCAATTTTTGGGATCACTTGAGTACTCATCATTCGATTCTCAGAATCATTCGATTATGCCCAGCACTAGTACACATGGGATGATAGTTTTCAGTCTCATTTAAATTTCTATGGAAATACTATTCGATATAAAGGCTAACAATATACCATTATCGAAATTATAATCATACCAACATGTATATGTACATTTCAGGCTGGTGCTGCTGTTGCTTCAGATGCAAGTTCTGTCAGCCTAGGGAAGAAATTGAAGAAGTGAAGAGATATTTCACAAATAACCCTCCAGGTATCTTTCACGATAAAGATAACAAAGTATTTGAGTACCAGCCAACTTTTTATGAGAAGTATGCCCACAAAAAACTTGAACAAGAGTTGAGAAACTTATAATGTGAAGTAATTGTTGCTCTGTGAGTTTATTAGGAGAATATTATACTGTTGAAATATTGAGTTTTGCTTACTTTCATCACTTGGAATGATCTTTCAAAATCGCCTTGCTTCAAGCACATGTGGATAAGAGATTCTGGTGAAGATAGCATATATTTCAAAAGGTATTTTTCACACTTTTCAGACCCTTTTACTGCTTCAATAAGTTCCATTCTCCACAATCCATCAGTTACCAGTTTGTTCAAGTACAATAATTTTGAAAATTCCTCTGAATCTTTGTCAAGTATGGTTTTCAGTTTGATTTCTTCGAGAATTTCTTTCAATAAAAAAATTAGAAGTCGTGTTTCTTTTCTTTCACAAATAAGACGTGACTCTTGCTCATAAAAAAGCAGAGCAAATATATTTTCGAGAAGTTCTATTTGTAAACTCGCATCCTGTATGTTCAGCATATTGGTTTTGGTGATATTTACTGTCTCAATGAGGTTCAGACCTGGAGTTTTTGTGAGACAGTTTAGAAGATGTCCTAGAATGCTGAATGCAATGAAATTTGTGGACTGTGTTTTGCTAGACAGGAGACTATCCTCTTGTTGTAGCCAAAGTAGTATTTCATTCCAGTTGAACTGTTTTATATCAAGAAAATGGGAAAATGTTTGAAAGGTTGAATTTTCTGTTAAGTAGGTAAAAACTTCATTTGTAGCTTCAGTAGAAGAATCTCTTTGGCAGAATTCAACAATACCAATAAAGTGGATCACCTAAAATAAAACACAATACAATTTTATTATATGAGTAAACACAAACATTGATTGATACAGTAAATACTAATAAGAATGATGGAAACATTTCAAAATCAAAGTGTCTGCATGATATGAAGTAAGGAAAATTCGAAATTAAAATCAAAAATTAAAAAAAAATCACATTCAGAGTCACACACAATCAATTTGAAAATGTAAAATATATAATGATATGCATCTGAAATAAGAAAGTCATATTTCACTCGGAAATAAATCTGACATTCATAATTATTTTAAATTTCTTTTATTACAGTTTGAATTTACCCCCACTCTTTTACTAGAGTCTGTATTCTAACATGTCTATCAATTCACTTTTTTTTCCAGTTACTTTTAAATTACGTCATGCAAGCCAACGTTTTTAATGTTACAACATTGTTATCCTTTACAGTTGCAAATTTTAGTTTTGCTCCAGAAACATCTGTTAAAAACATTGTTTTTTAATTGTACTTTACCATATGTTTATATGAGGATTAGGCAGTGTTTGTCCCTACCGAACTACTAGCGCTGCTAGTGACTGATTTTTTGTACTTCAGGGAAAAGGTTCATTGGAATATCAAAAATACATGATTATCAATTAATCATTAATAATAATTAGCAGTTTCTTCATTGTAGGGTGATATGTTTCACCTTATTTTTGATAAAGTTTCATTTACTAAAGTATCTTGAAATGTTTTACAATGCAAAATTGTTAAAATAGTTTATTTACCTGCTGCATGTACCTCTGCCAAAACAAGGGCAACCTGTCCTTGTTGATATGGTTCAGCAGATTTTTTACATTATCCACAGAGATATCAGAGGAATTAGTCAACTCGATAAACCTCAACGTTTGTACCAAATTCACAATTTTCTCATCGAATATTTTGGAAATTTCACTACTGCCAATGAACTCCTTGAACCAATGCTGTTTCTCATAAACAACATAGTCATATAGTTTCGTTGGACTGCCAATATCGAGTTCTAGAACCCTTTTGTGGAATTTCATGCACTTATTAAGGAGTTCCAAATTGTTTGAACCAAGTAGCGACAAATACAGAATGTCTTTTCGGATGATGTTTTTGTTGTGTAAATCATTGATTTTGGGTAGTACATATTCAAAGAGGTATTCGTTCTCACTCCTGTCACCAACTTGATATTCACTGAATTTTTTGTAAAATTGATTGGTTAGTTTGCTATGGTCCTCGGACTTTGGTAGTCTCTCTAGTACTCTGAGTATGTCTTCCATTCTGATAAGTAACTGTATCAAAAAGAAAGTGCTTTGTTTACATGCAATACCAAATAAATCATATAATTTATAAGCTAATGAGAAAAGTTGAAAATATATTTATTTTTATACACTGTTCAGTGTCGCTAATTTATTAAATTGGACAATACCTTAATAAATCAGACTTCGGACACTTCCTATTAAGGATAACATATTATAAAACAACAAACAACTCAAATCCTTTATCCCTTGTAATGCAATCTGTAACTTTATCTGTACATTTCTACGAAGTGGTGTACTGAAACAAACAACAAACAAACATCATCAGCTGATATTAGGTGTGTTTTGTTGCCGCCACAGAATACTGATTGTTCTCATCTGTGTCACACGACAGAGACCATAAGTTCTATCACCTGTCAAAGGAGATAGCATTATAAAAGACCAAAGATAATTTTCTAGTGAGAGTAGAAGTTGCGAGTGAGAAGTTGATGAGTAAACATCAAAGTTATAGAACAGTGACAATTTCAGCATTTAGATACGCTATCGCCTAAAAAGTATTTTAGGACGATAAGCAATGGAAGAACTATTGAATAGAATTCACCACTTCCGTAGGAACTATTCCAGAGACGCGTTTCTCGCGTTGATGGCGGCAATATTAGATCGGTACGACGTTTCCAGCATAGAGCTGGCAAAGTCGTACAAATATTTTGAAAAGATAATGGAACAAAATATACTAAACCGCAAACCTAAATATTACCGGCTCTTCGAAGCTCTGCCAAGCTACGTAGAGGAAAGATACGATCCAGATTTCGACGACCTCCCTTCGGAAGAAGAAGAAATCCAAGGTGAAAACATGCCACAAAAACGAGCGGCCACCTGAGCCCCGCGTTGAAAAAACAAAAATCCCGACTACTGAAAAAGTACAAACTCAGCAGCCGAAGAAGAAAAAGACAAAAAGCGAACGAACAAATCCTGGAAATTCCGATGACGTCACGACCAGTACGTCACAGGTACAGGATAAGCCGGAAGTCTCTAATCCGAAGACAATACAGGTAGTCCAAAAGGATAATCCCCCAACAAACATTGAAAACACACCCGAACAGATGGATTTGGATGTAGAACAAAAGGTCGATGAAGCCCCGGTAACAAACCAGGGGGAAACAAAAACAAAGAATGAAAAACCTCCGCCAATTACCATACGAGCGAAGGACAAATGGAAAAATTTCAATACGATAACCGCCGCGCAGATAATCGACATATCTCGGGCGGTGAACACAAATGACGGGATAAAGGTTCACTTTAAATCCATGGAGGATTACAGGAAGGTAACAAAATCCCTCGACAAAGAAAAGATACCTTACCACACATATTCGGTACAAGCCGAGAAACCGTTGAGAGTCGTTTTCCGGGGAGTCCCAGAAGCCCTGGAAATAGATGATATCAAAAAAAGAATTGCAAGGGAAAGGATTTGAAATCATTTCCATCGCTCGTATGAGTAAAGCAAACAAAAAGCCCATCCCCTTCGTACTAGTCCTGGTCCCCAGAAACCAGGCTAACATATACGATATTAAGGAAATCCAAAAAGTCCGCGTTACCGCAGAAACACAAAGGCCACGTAATATATAGAGCAGGACAATGCTACAGGTGTCAAAAGTTCGGGCACACACAGCGGAACTGTAAAGCAGTCCCGGCCTGTGTAAAAGGCCGGGACTGCAAAAGACCCAAAAACTCCCCTATGCGGTGCTTCAACTGTAAGGGAGAACATACAGCTAGTTTCCACGGGTGCCCGGAACGCCCCGAAAATAAGAAAAAGGCCTACAGACGAAAGACAGCCCCCAAACCCGAGGACAGTCAACCAAAATAGAGTCAGAAGCGGAACCTCATACGCGAGAGCCGTATCAACTAGAGAAAATTCCTGCAACTCTCCCGAAGGTCTCCCAACGGCCTTAGGGCAGCTGCAGGAAATTCTCATGAAGTTTCCGGTTTTACAAGCTATGCTCGCCGGAAATAAATAAAAAAAGAACATGTCTTAACGACAAAAAAAGGACAACAGAAGACGCTGCGACTTCTGACAGTTTGCTACAAGCTACAAGAAGGTGATAGAGACTTTTTCCTATCACCCTAACATAAGAAAACATAAAACAGACTAAAGAACAATTAGCTGAAAGGGTAGGGGGCCTTTGGTTCGGATACCTGACTTAACAAAGACAATGCAGGTCTAGTGAGAGTAGTCCATTCAGTCGAGGAATCGGCAAGCCTTCGATTGCGCAGAAACCCACGATAATCCGTTAGTTAGGGAAGCTATGGATTATGCTGTAGACGACCCCTCCCGATATAGTAGGCCTACACACTTCGTCGAGTGAGGCCCTCATGTCCTCCGTTAAAAGATGAACAATATCTTCATTCAAACACCCCAGCCAGGTAGGGGTCCACATGAAGGGCGGCACTGATGTCTGAGGACATTCATGCCGTCATCCCATAAATCAGTCTTGACCCGTTTGTCTTTCTGACGAACATCAGTCCAAAGGGTAAGGGAGCCAGGCTCCAACCTGTTTTAGCCAAGATGACACGAATAAACAAATCTAGTGAGAGTCTTGTTTGTTCTATCTAAGATGTCTAAAAACCCAGGAATCTTAGTTCTGCCAATGCACATTCAGGTGGGGGTATTCCACATCCATCAATAGACATTTAGGAAGTGAAACATTATTCGTCTTCATCTCTGACAGATGGTATACTAGGCAGACATACACGGTATTTCAAGCCTTAGATGAGTTAGAAATAGAATATAATACTTCACTATAAAAGACACCATTCAGTAAACAGATTGCCTCCATTTATGAGGAATGAAGGTCTAAACAAAAATTGAAATAGAATCCTTAGAACATCGATTACACCATACATTTTTTTTTAGTGGAAAGATCACTAATGTCCAAAAAATTATGGAATATCAAACAAATATATTTCAATGGCAGTATCTGTTTTTCCAAACTGAGATAAACACTGTAATTCGGATCCAAACGCTGTCCATCTAAGCAATGGAGTGCTTGAAAAGGCTGCTTGTACAGCTGACCGAATTTTTTAAAGTTTGTTTGATAATATGCTACTGGGTATAAGAAAATTATTCAAAGTTTAACTAATGAAAGAAACAAAAACAATTTTGTGTATTCAACATGAAATGAACTACAAAAAATGGAGTCAATTTTTTTTTTCAACAGGACAAACCGGTAATTAGTTTTTGATTTCAAAATGACGTTTTAGCGTATAAATTGAAAAAATTATAATAAAATAATGAATCAACTGCGTTGAATGCTTACTAAAAATAATAAATAGTTCGTTGGCCCTCAGACACTTCCCCAGAAGGTGGAAGCATGCGGTCGTCGTCATGATCCCAAAACAGGGTCAGAACCCGCTGTTCCCACAGAACTACCGCCCGATCAGTCTACTCTCTTCGGCGGCTAAGCTGGCTAACGCGTTTGACCTGCCTCGGGGCCTCGTCCGGTGGATCGGGTCTTTCCTGAAAGACAGGACATTTCAAGTTAGAGTAGAGGGATCTCTGTCTGATAACAGAGAGATCCTTGCTGGAGTGCCACAGGGGGCCGTGTTCGACGTTGTACTCATTTTACACCAGTGACCTTCCGAGGCCCGAGCGTGTGAAGATATCTCTGTACGCCGATAACACGGCTCTCCTCTCATTTTCCATGGGTTGGGAGCTCGGCGTCGTCTCTATGCAACGTGCATTGGACGACCTCGAGCGCTGGTACCTTGATTGGAAGATCCGAGTGAACCCGGATAAGACTCAGGCAATAACCATGGGAAGACTGAAATCTTCTCCGGCCAGAAAAGTGAGAATCTCTGGAAGGGAGATTGACTGGCAAGCGCGGGTAAAGTACCTCGGCCTTTTAATAGACCGTAGGCTCACTTGGAACCCGCACATAACGAGCGTCAAATCAAAGATCGAGGATCGGATAGCACGTTGTACCCTCTGATAACAGAAAATCTAAAATGAGTCTCAAAAACAAAATTACCATCTATAATACGATGTTCAAGCCAGTCATCATGTATGCTTCAGGCGTCTGGGGACAAGCGGCGAAATATAATATCACCATTCTGGAGGTATTGCAAAACAAGCTAATAAGGATGATTGTGAATGCTTCTTGGTTCGTGCGGAATGAAGCCATCCGCAAAGATTTGCAGCTGCCTTCCATTCGGCAGTTCATTCAGTCGAGAAATCAGAGAGTTTTCGATGGTGCAGAAACTCATGAAAACCCATTTGTCAAGGAAGCTATGGATTATACTGTAGACGACCCCTCCCGATGAAGAAGGCCTCGACACTCTGTCGAATGAGGCCCCTATATCTTCCGTTGAAAGATGAACAACTTTTTCATCCAACTCACCCCAGTCAGGCAGGGGTACACCGTGAAGGGTGGTACTGATGTCTGAGGACACTCATGCCGCCATACCATCAACACCCACCATCAGTTATGACCCGTTTGTCCTTCTGGCAAACATCGGTTCAAAGGGTAAGGGAGCCAGGCTCCAACCTGTCTGAAATCAAGACGACGTACAGAAATAATGAATTTTTTTTTCATTTTAGACGGATTTCTGTCAACTAAATCAGCATCCATTAGATGGTCTAGTCTTAATACTTTCATTTCTACTTTATATTTCACATGCCCTACCCAATTAGGGTAGGGCATGTGACACAGGGGAAGCGTTTCTTTTCATACTAATAACATCATATAACAATAAATTATCTAGTTCACAAACATATGCGGTTTCTTGAAAGTATAATAAAGTGATTCTTACATGAAGTGTTTTTCAAGCCAGTTAAGAGGCCGTTTAAAAAGGTTTATCTTGAAGAAGTTATTGATTCATTAACACAAATTTTACACTCAGTGTGGCCTGCGTTTAATCACGTTTCATCTAGGTGATAGATTTTTTTATTCTTTCTTTTGTAGGCTTTCATAAACACGCTTGTATTAGCTTTACTTGTATGTTTGTAACCGACCCCGTTTGGACTTGATTTTTGTTGGAAATGCAATGAGGTCAGTGCAAAAGTGTAATTACAATAAGCCTGAGTAATTTTTAGACGTTATAATGAATATATCAAAAAATAATATATCTATAAACTTTCATCTGACAGTAATTCATTTACATACAAAAGTCAAACAATAACTGAAAATAAATGATTGATGTACAATACAGGGTGTGTTGCATTTTGAATTACAAACACCCCCACTAAAATGCAGTTGAACATCAATATTCATTTTCTCTAAACATATATTATGTTTTCGTCAAAAAACAGCAGCCATTTCTTCCGTTCCAATATACTAATATACTCTATATCTATATATCCGTCTTGTAGTTTTTGTCTGACAAAATGATGGCGATGTGCTTAGATCTTGCACGGTAACCATCGTTGGTTGCTAGATTTATTGCACTCTTGTTATCACAAATTATCAAAAGTGGCTTCTTGAGTGTTTCTTAGCTTAGTGTTAGCTGCTGATAAAGCCATATATTCGACTTCTGTTGTTGATAACGCAACAGTATGCTGTCTTTTACAATTCCATGAAATCGGCCCTCCTTGTTGCAGAAATACATATCCAGTACACGATTGTCTATTGTCAACATCGCTTGCCCAATCAGCATCACAATATCCTTTTAGTCTGGAATCAGAATTCTTTGTGTATACCAATTTAGCATACATCGTTCTTTTCAGGTATCGCAAAATTCTTTTTACTGCTGTCCAATGAGCCTTGCCGTAATTTTTGTTGAATTGACTAACAGTATTAACAGCATAAGTGATGTCTGGTCTGGTTCCTTGTGAAGCATATAAAATACTACCAATGACTTCCTTCAATAATAAAAGATACTTTTCGGTTGAACGCCGCATCAAAGATCTCGGTGAGCTGTGAAAATAAAAGTATTATACATCGAAAAATCACAATTTATGTATGTCTTCAATAACACAAATTTATATGGTTTACAAGTAATAATTGAATGGAAAAAGGTACACTTTATTCTTCTTTGATGAAGAAAGTAACGATTACACAATTGTAAACGTTACACCGTTGGAATCAGAGAGCCATGTTGAACTTTTCCAATACAGTTTTAATGTATGTTTGCTGGTCTAGATATATTTCACCTTTATTTCGATTTCTAGTGATTCTGAGTCCAATACAGGTCTTCGCTTCACCCAAATATTTCATCTTGAATCTTCTTTCCAAGTCTTCCTTTAAATTTTCCTTTGCATTTTTGTTGTTGCAAAATATTAATAAATCATCCACGTATACTGCTACCAACAATATTCTGCTTCTCAGTATGATAGTATATACATGGGTCATTTATTGATTGCTGCAATCCAATATCCTTCAAAGCAGCACTGAGTTTTTTATTCCATTGACGACTTGCCTGTTTTAAACCATAAATGGCCTTTTTCAAGCGATAAACTTTGTTTCCTCGATAAAATTCGTCTGGTGGTTGCAAATATACTTCTTCTTCAAGGTCTTCTTGCAAGAAAGCGGTAACTGCGTCCGTCTGCTCTATATACAGATCAAATTTGGCTGCTAGAGCTATCAAATACCTGACTGAATTGTAACGAACTACTAGGCTAAAAGTTTTAGTGTAGTCAACCCCTTTCTTCTGAGAATAACCTTTGACTACCAGGCGGGATTTTTATCTGATGACCCTGCCGGTTTCATCTCTTTTTGTTTTGAAAACCCATTTACAATTTATAGGTTTTTTGCCTGGAGGTAAGTCAACGAGAGTCCATGTATCATTTGCTAGTAAAAAATCGTATTTTTCCCGCATTGCAGCTATCCACTGATCACAATCTGGGCTGCTCATCGCCGCATCAATATCTGTAGGATCACCTATGTCACCAGAAGTCTGAGTCATATAAAGAAAGTAATCATTTTGCTGTGGAGTATAGGGACAAGTTGTTTGATGCCTGATTCCACATTCTCTGAGATAGTTTTCAAAATGTCGATTGCAGTACTCTGTTCCGTTATCTGTTCGAAAATTTTTTATGCGATTTCCAGTTTCATTTTCTACCATATTTTTGAAATCTCTAAAAGTATTTTTAACATCTATTTTAGATTTTAGAAAATATACAAAAACTTTCCGAGTGTAGTCGTTAATTAATGTGATAAAATATTTTGCTCCTCCCAAAGATCCATTTTCTGTTGGACCAGATAAATCGAAGTGAATTAGTTCTAACACTTGATTTGCGTTAGTGCCAATATGGTTGAATGAAAGTCGACATTGTTTGCCTTTCAAGCACGGAATACAATTGTCACAATTTTCTTGTTTGACGAACTGACTACCTTCAACAATTCCATTTTTCAAGTTATTCAGATCTTTCATATTTATATGACCGAGTCTGCGATGCCAGAGGTAACTGTCACTCTCTGTAGACGCAATTAAAATTTCATTTGTACATTCAGTCTCAACATCCTGTATATACATTCCATTCATTATATGATGCTGTTGCTATGGTTTCACATTTTGTGTGTTTTGTTATTAATAAATTAGTTTTGTTTATTACCCTTTAATTGTTCAATGCAGGTACTAACTACAAAATAATAAATCCAGTTCGCATTTATGACGATGTATCTCTGTAGTTGTTCCTAAAATAATTTTTTGCTGCGAAATGGTTTATTTTGGGCGAAAAACCCAAGAGACATTTTTTGTTTAGAATGAAACAGGCTATCGGAAATAAATTTTTAAATGGTAAACAAATAATTTCTGGGTAAGTGTCTTTTTGGTAGTACAAAACGTCAGGTTAATTTCAATATTGTAACTTTTTAGTGCTTGTGAAAAAAATTGTTATACAAATTTTATGTACCCCCTTTAAGGGGCTGTATCTTAACAAGGGATGCTCCAATGAAATTTCTTTATATGAAAGATCCTATCTTTTTTTCGATGAGGAATCACCTCCTTAAATGTTTTATACTTATTTATTTACACCCTGTATAAATGTTAACTATGATTCCACCTTGACAAAATATTATATTTTGAAAGTATATATGATTTTTATGTAAAATAATTTTAAATTGTGACTTCGCTTGAGTTTAGGTTTAACTGGATATAGTGCTACATTAACTATGGAATATTGATATGGGGTGCCTTTCCACTGGGGAGTGAAGTATTCATTCTCTGAAAGAAGATACTGGGATACTTTGATAAAGTTGATTTCAGAACACGCTATACCAATCTTTTAAAAATGGGGCATTATGATTTTAACCTGTATTTAACCTGATTTTAACATGTATATTGTAAAATATTGTTTGTACATAAAAAGAAACATAATATTATAAGTAGTCTTCAAAAAAAATGTTAATATATACTGCATCTAAGGATGATTGTTATTCGTTATCCTGATTTCAATAAATGTTTTTATTTAGTATAGTTTACATCAATGTGTTCGAAGGCTCCCCACTAGGTACGATTGTGTATGAAACTACCCCATGTGGGGCACATTCGTATGTTTTACATGTAAAAAAAAGACTACCATAGCTTTATTGCTAAATAATGTTGCCCCAAATCAATTTTGAACTACATTATTATCAAAACTAGTTACTAAGGCTATATACCAGCTTTGCAATTATTTTGAAATATTTTCAAGTGTTCCTCTGAGAAGGTTTAGAGTAAACATGAATCCTTCCTGCCCTGCCCTGATGTAGATGATTTTACCCTGATTTCAATTTTTGATAACTAATCTCTATTCAATTTCAGAGTGATACAATATACTTTCTGTAGTCATTTCAATGTGAATTAATTTCATGAAGTTCAGTTTGGAGTCATAAAATAGTCACCTGAATCTTTAGATCAAATGCAAAAGTATAATAGATAATCAAATAATTATAATGCAGCACATGTCTATAAAGTAGGTGGGCCCATCCCTGATACTGGGTTGAAGGCTCGTAATTGAATGTAGAAAGCAAGATGAAAATGCTAAATCAATGATACAAATATACTGGACAAAACCCAAAATTACTATTCAAGAGTGCACCAAGAGGCGAGAGAAATTTATTAACACAAAGATAAGTTCAATCGAAAGGGAGAAGGCCTTAGCATTATCAAAACCTGATTTCCTGCCATGAAATTGCCTTGATAATGTCCACCACAGTAGTGGACAAAACAAAAGGATTAAAAACTTGCAAGAACATAGCCAACAAACCTAGAAACTATCTATGACACAAAAGTTTGTTTTTTGTATAGATGTATATTGAACAATCGCAGTCCATGGAACTAAATGATTGATTGATTTTCAGTTTCAAGGTAGATGCACACAACTAGTCTTTGTCATAATAATAATAATAATTTTTATTAGTCTCAAAATACACACAGTTTTTAAACATGTCAATACAATTTCTAAAATAGGTTTAAGAGGGTAAGATTTGTCAATATAGTTTTCAAAAAATGCTTGTAGATAAATTAGATTTACAAAAAAAAAGATACAAGTTAACAATATAAATCATAAGCAGTTGAATCATTGCAACATGCACAAGCATAGATATTATTTTATAAATACTTACTCATAAGTATGTGTACGAAAGGAAATTTTTTGGTAGTGACAGGTAGAACACTAGAATTTTTGCCTGGTTCATGAATCTACCCTTAAAAGATTTGTGTGCCAAATGAAATAGTTTGTAACAAGATATTTGTTACTTGTTTATTTTGGACAGTACACTCAATATAATAACTCTCAATGACTAAATTTATCTTGACAGCCAAGATCTGCTCGAAAGGAGGATTGAAAGTATATCCTTCTTCATTTTCCCAGTTAAACTATAACCAAAATAGTTTCCATCAATTTTTCAAGGAGATCAAAGCTGTCAATTGAATACAGTCGTTAGTAAATCTGGTCAGTTTATAGCAGATGCCCATGGAGGTGTCATAGGCTGCGGATTTTGCAAGTATGACATCACAATCGCAGATATTGACAACATGAAGGAACTCAGTATTTGTTTTGTGTCATCCGTTATTCTAGAATTAGCGAAGCTAATACAAGAACAATATAGGGCTACCCAAGCACACCATTTCAGTCTCATCATTAGTCCGCACATGCTGAAGATCATTCCCAAAATGTTCATGTAGTCAGGCGTCAGGTCTTCTTGGCCATTCCCATTGTTCGTTTTTGCTGTATATCTCTGAACTTTCTCAGGTCTGCGAGGGTCTGAATTCATTGTTACTTTTAGTGGAGAAAAAAATACAAGAAAATGTAAAATTAAAGACAATATCGTATATTTAGTATAGTACTATATCTATGGTTAGGAAATTATCAGTAACGTCACATTTATTATCATGTGGATGGGAATTATAAACCACTAACAATGTCATACCAACCCAATGCCAACATTGCCAACCCAACTGCAGAATTCCAGAATTGGTGCTGACAAATGAATGTGTTTTTTATTGGGATATATTTCGTGGGATTTATGGATAGGCCACTTTTAAATAGATCAGGTAAGTTGATAAAATTAAATAAATGAAAATATGAAAACTAAAAAAAATATATTATTTATGAACATGAATGTCAATTCAAGGTATGAAAAATGTAAACAAGTATTAGTTATGTATGTATAGTAACATAAAACACAATAAATCTAAAATATAAAATAGTTCTATATAGTTATAAAAATACTACAAGTTACTGCTAGAACCTGGCAACATAAGATTCGCAGGATATGCAAAATAATTACATTTCAAATCACATAATTGTCCTAATAAATAAGTATTCATTTTTTGTACTGCTTTCGAAAAAAATTAACGCTTTTTTGAGTCTTATGTTGAAATTTATTTTTTAATTAAGTTTTCGATTTCTAACACATAATTGGTGCATTCGGTCGTGAAAAAGACCATTTTCAATGTGCCATAAATCGTTTTTCGACTTCTTCGGCGAGGATCGAGGAAATTCAAGAACCTCTCTACAAAGAAAAGGTCGGAAAGGAACCAGGAGACTACAAGTGTCAATTACCATACTGTGAGTGCCAAAATCCTTTTTTGCCTTTCCAAAACCCTTTTTTTGAGGAGTTTGGGAAATATGAGGTAGTGATGATAATTCAAAATTAATATTGGATATTGACATTAGATTTACTCGCGAAAATAACTAATTATTTTAAATATATACTGAATTCATCGATAGATGCTGAATGGGCTCATTTAACATTTTTTTTTAATTTTATTATTTGAAAGTTTATGTTTCAAATAGTATATCTGCAAAAAACCTGAAATTCCACTTCTTATCGTCCCCCTCAAATTAATAGTTGAATGCGGTCAAGCTTGACGTCACATCAGTCGACTCGGCGACAAGGGAGTGCTGGCGGCGATGGCAGCGATTCATAATCTCCAATTACAGGCTCGGTTGCCACCACTCGAAGCTCGTTGCCTGGTGTGACGTTAAAATGTATCGCGGGCGATCTCACATTTTCAATTGTTCTTGCACAGTTGTTAATTGACATAAAAACCGGAAAATTTTGTGGGATACTATATGATTTACTTTTATAATATTTAATTTTCATAAAAATCTAAATAAGCCTGAATGAGCCCATTCTATTGATCAAAATTGGAACTTTATGAATGACATCGAAAATATTTTGCAACTTGAATAAAGTATCAGTCGAAAACAATAACCAAAACATTCGAAACATGCCGTCAGTAGAGCCTCAAAAGATCGACTGAAACCCTTTCAAATCTCGTTTAGAAAATATCAAACCCTACAATGGGGACAGTAATACTCTCAATAAATTCATAACTCGTTGCCTATTATGCCATATACGGAGACGCTGCTTTTCAAAAACATATACTTGAATGTATCCAAGAAAAATTAGTAGGAAAAGCAAAATCAATGGTAGAATATAGCGTGGAATTAAATACTTAAGCCTTATAAAGGAGAAAACCTTAGTAATTCTTGGAGTAGAATACAACTGTTGAAAAGAAGTGTTGTGTAGATAATAAGTCATGATGCCAATTTAAACAAACCCGAACATTATGCCATATTATTTATTATGATGAAATAGTACTGATCACCTTCAATGCAGAGTGTACTGGCACCCTGAAGAATAAAATATGAATAAAAAAGCAGCTCAACTGGAAGACGCAATAGCGGATGCGAATGAATTTGAAAACTTTGAAAGAATGTACGGAAGTTCAAACGGAACACAGAATACAACTTCTAGAACTAATTTGGTTCCCTAACCACAATTTGGTAATAATTCACAAGGAAATAATTTCAATAACCAACAATAATGTAATCATAAACCCCACTTTCAGCAATGTCCAACCAAAACATTTGTTTGGCAAAATTAGCCCATACCGGTCCAACCTAGACAAAAATAAATTAGATTTGTTCTCAACAAATGGTGACGTTATCGAACCCCCAAAAACCTAACCAAATACCACAAAACCGATTACCGTAGATTGGGGATACTTTAAATCCTGGGTATACATTGGTCGACACTTCTTTTATAATTTAAACGTCGCTGGATCAAATACGTATGCAACCAAGGAGGCTGTACTTTTGTAGTTGGTTGCAGGCATAATGTAAGTAGTTAGTCGTGTGATTTGCTTTGTTGAAATCGCACGTAGTCCTTTGTTTAAGCATCGTTTAGTTTTCACACAGTTTTTCAGCTGTTTATTTGTATCCAAAACTTCCTGTGCACAGAAGTAAGTATACTTAGTAATAAACTTGCTACTGTTATATTGTGTCAGGCGTATATTCGAGACTGAAATTACATCGTAACAACAGAAGTTTTCCATTAACCTAGTTTTTGGCAGTCATTTTTATTTGCTGGGGTAACTTTGATCAGCGTCTGGGGCATCATTGATCACTTGATCACTTGATCAATGATGCCTCTTTGACCAAAGTTGCCCTTTATCAGATAGTTTTGAATCGTTGCACTAAGATAATTGGACAAATTTGTTTTTTTTTTCAGAAAGAATGCCCCGTAAACACAAACGTGTACTTGGCAGTAGAACATATTGCGACTACACCAAAGAAACTTTGGAAGAAGCACTGCAACGTGTAGTCGAAGGATCCACTATTCACGAGGCGTCAAGGGAATTCAAAATTCTACACAATAAGTACCAAGGAAGACATGGGGGTGAACCAGGCCGTCCAGAGGAGGTGACTATCCTTAAAGCGGCTGCCAAATGTGTCGACTGGGGATTTCTGTTATCACTTATGGACGTAAAAATTATGGCCAAATATTATTTAGATGGAAGGGGTGAGACCATGAACATTTTTAAGAATGATAATCTCGGAGTTGACTGGACATACAGTCTTCTCGAGAGACACAAAGATTCCTATGGACAATGAAGAGCCACCAACATAAAAAGGGCTAGAGCGTCAGTGTCAAGAGTTACTCTAGCAAAATTTTATGACAATTTGGAATATACGCTAAAGAATTTGCCAAGCTCTAACATATTTAACTACGATGAGTCCAACTTATCTGATGATACTGGAAAAATGCGTGGCATTTACAGACGAGGCGTGAAATATCCTGAAAAGGTAACGAACCACTCTAAAAGCTGTACGACGATAATGATATGTGGCTCAGCCGACGGCACATTATTGCCACCATATGTAATATATAAGAGTGCCCATCTCTATGATTCCTGACATCCATATTGTGACAAACCATGCTGCAGCCTCGGAACAAGGTACAATCGCAAAGCAAGTGGATGGATGGATGGTGGTACTTTTCGAGATTGGTTTACCAGTTCATTTTTACCTCATGCCAAACGCTTAGAGCGAAAGAAGGCTCTGATCGGAGATAATTTGTCTTCTCACATGGATGCCGAATTTTTGAGGATATGTGCCGAAAATTACATGTTTAGTCCCGCACTCAACCCACCTATGCCAGTCACTAGACGTCGGGTTCTTCAGGCCGATGAAAGAAGCCTGGCGTGTTGTACTGACGGAGTGGAAATTGCAAAATATACGTCTATGCACCGTTCCTATAGATATGTTTCCGGCTCTTCTAAAGAAAGCTTTGAATAAGATAGATACTGTAACTGCAAGAGTTGCCAGAAATGTGGGAGAAGCGAAAACCAATAACACATCTGCAATTAAACGAAACTTGATCAGCTCTTTTCGGGCCACCGGCATTTGTCCTTTGGATCGGCAAGAGGTGTTCAAACGTTTGCCACCGGTAGTTGAAGATGATGATCCAGCCCCTGCCGTCGAAGATGCATTGACAACACTTCTCAGAAAGCAGAGATTTGGAGAAGTAGGCCGATCACAAAAGAAAAAGAAGAGACTTGATGTTCCACCTGGCTGTAGTGTGTCTACAGTAGCACCAGTTAATGGTGATCAAGAAAGTGACGACGATCAACCACTCTCAACGTCAGTGGATACCCGAGTCAAATATACCAAAGAATTCAGAGAATGTTTAGAATATTCTAACTTCAGAATCTGTGTTGGCTTACCCAAACATCGAAAACGATTTCGAACTCTCTATCGATGCCTCTAACGATGCATTGGGTAGGTAGCATTTTATCTCAAAATGGTTATTCCATCTGCTATGCATCTAGGACATTGAATCCTGCTAAAATGAATTACTCTACTATAGAGAAAGAACTGCTCCCGATAGTTTGAGCTGCAAATATTTCCGATTGTACTTCTTTGGTAGAAAATTTGTGATTTATACAGATCCCACATCCATACAATGTGACTTGTGAGATGACGCCTCGAATTGGAAAAATTTGATTATGCCATTCAATATAAAAATGATAGAAATAATCAAACAGTGGACGTCTAGATACATTACCGATTTCTTAAAAAATCAATCAATATTTGACGTTCCACCGTCTAACATATTAGTAAAATCGGCAACCGAAGTGAACCCTGAATCAGAGGTAGACTTGGAAACGGTACACACTCCTGCCAACCAAAGTTTGACGGGCAAAGGTATTTGAAAAATTTTCACTATACGTCACCTACACAAAAGTTGAACTCGAAAATCAAATCGAAACTTTTCTAAAGGAATATTCGATCCTCAAACAGCATTACACTCTGTATTTAAAAAACCCACAACTTTGGGAAATATTGTCCGTAACCATCCATTCAAAAATTTCTTATTCAAATTATTGTACTGTACAAAATTTTTGACAGACGTAGCAAGACGTGAAAGCAAAAGCTAGATATATATTTAGATTTTGCTATATCTAGCAAAAGCTAGATATATTATCAAATATATGAATCCGGTAACAGAAGGATGAATGAAGTGAAGGCTCACGATAATATTGGCCGAATAAGTCTATAGATACATAAAATTATATCAACAATTGTGAAACATGTCTGAAAAATAAAAATGACAAGAAGTCCTTCTGCCATAAGTTCAATTTAACACGCACTGCGGTCAGACCATCACATCGACGTTTTTAGGACTTTATTTAACTGACCATAATTGGTGCTTTCTCCCGATAAGGTCCAGCATACCCTTTAAAGTCGGTTACAGGAGTATCACTAGTTGAAGTTTTTTTGAATTTTGTAACTCATCATGGGTTACACCCAAAAATCACAAGTGACAGCGGTACGGAGTTTAAAAATCAATATTTGAAAAATTTCTGCTCTCTTCACCTAAATCAGATTCATTTCGCCATGACAAAGAATGAAAACTCAATTCTCCCCAGTAGAACATTTTCGTTCTCTCCTAATCGAACATTTTCGTTGTTTGAGAAAAGAAAATAGAAACTTCACAGCGGACCAATTGGTAGAATACACTATTTTGAGCTATATTAACTCTTTTCATAGTGTAACCAAATTGACAAAGGACATATTGACGACTCTAACCCTTTCGATATGAAGGAGAGTGTAATTATATCAAAATATGTTCAACTTCAACTGTTTTTTCGGGTTTAGTTTGTGTCAAAAGAGATCTTAACGTGTTGGTAGTAATATACCCAGAAAAACGATAAGAAATATATGTATACAGGATGTAACATAAATACGTTAAAATATTCAAGTGATGTATTCCTGAGACAAAATAAGTTATAAATCTAGAAAGCACTTCACAACGGCTAAACTAACGTATATTGCAATATAATGGAATATCTGAATATGCACTCTTCATTTCTTGTAAAAATGACTTGAAGTTGACCGTGAGTTAATGACGGATGACTAGCAAAGTAATTGACAACTTTAACTACTGTATCCATCACGGATTTTGAGCTTCCGCTCGAGATCTCCGCCAAAAATTTCCTTGATGAATGATGCAATGAAATTTCAATAATGCTCGACCAATGCTCCATCTGTAGTTACGCAAAAAAATCTTAGTTGAGTCTAGTCCCCGTTTCTGAAAATGTTCAACAAATTCTGATACTATATCTTCGCCTCTTGTCATTCCTTCCAATAGAAGCAAGCATATCAGTTCTTCATACATACGGTTATTGTCAAAGTACCGCGCAACTTTAGACATCTTACGCGCAACGATTGCTAACCGGGAAATGTCATTAACGTCGACACTTGCATCCAATGGAATACGAAATACGATATTCAGTTCAATGGCGTCGATTTGTTGTTTCCCTACATTTTCTGTCATTTCAGTAATTCGCCTGTCAATAGTCAGAGCTGATGTTGGTATATCTTTGATGCGGGCCAGTATTGCATTTTTATTAGGAAAATCATCAAAAAATACATCCCCACTCAGAAATGTCTGCTTCATAAATTTTCTATCAGTGAAAGGTCTTTCCTTTTCTGCCAAAGATCATTCGGTTGCTTGATCTTTCCTTGACTAATTTTTGTAAGAATGTTGCCTGCTTTTTATACTGAGCAACTGCTCTTCAGATTGTCTCCGTTCTATCAAAATTATCCTCAAACCCTGATTCATGTCTTGTTTGAAATTGTCGTTGAACACTAGATGTCTGGAATACTACGCTTTTCCCACATAATGCACATATATGGCTCGATCTCTTTGCTGTACAAAATCAAAATTACTTGTCCAGGACTTTTAAAGCGACGAACGTCTAATTTCTGCTTTTTAGCCGTCATAACACTAACGTTAATCGGACACTTGTACTTTACAGGTTGATAAATAGTGTTACAATACCTATCCTGGGTCCGTCCAATAACAACAGCTGGTACAACCTTTGCCACTAAACTTATCTTTATAATAGTTTTACTGAACTAAACGACTAACTTATTAGAAGCTTATATGATATGGTAAATCCGCCTCCTAGAAGTTTCCCGTATAACCGTCACCTCCTCACATCTTCTCTTTTCCAGAATAGTCCCATCTCTGTCCCGTCGTTCTAGTCTGGCCTCTATCACTTAGCTCGGTCAAGCTACGTTGCCAGTTTGTGTACAGTTCCGTAGAATATTTTTAATTTACAATAAGTATTCTTATTGCTAATTCACAAAGTTATGGCACCACTCGGTTTATCAATGGAAAACACCATTAGAAAAAAAAATTATGTCATTGTCAAAATCTGTTTATTTTTGTTTTGAATGTTTTGATTTGAAACGCTCAACTATTTGGGCGTTATTATTTATCACTTTCTATTTAGCGATTTCCACATCACAACTTGGAATGAGTTCAGAAGAAAAGATAATTTCCGTAGAATTTGAAGTTTTCGGAAGAGTACAGGGTTTGTTGATAATCCAGCAGCAATAATTTTAAATTAAAATTCATCTTCTCTTTCAGGGGTGTTTTTTCGAAAAGTAAGTTGCTTTGATTCTTTCTTCACAATTGAATTCCTATCATTGTATTCTTTTAGTATACTGAACAAGAGGCAAAGCGTCTGGGACTGAAAGGATGGTGCATGAACACCAGACAAGACACTGTTAAAGGGGTTATCGAAGGGATGCCGTCGAGAGTCAATCAGATGTAGGTATTTTGCTAAAATATATACCTTTACCTTTATAAAATGAAACCCAAATATTAAATAAACAAAATCTTGGTCTTAAATCTATTACATCTATCTTACAAGGTAAGACCATTCTAGCTTGGTCTTTGAAGTGCTTAGAAAAAAATGTGAGTGAATCACTGTACAACCGAGATGGTAAACCGAAAATTCCTTAAATGTATACTGACCCTAACAATAATTAATAATGGATTTTCTGTCAAGAGTTTGAGTTTTTTTTTGTGCTATTGCTTGAGAGTAATTTCTTCCAAGTCTCCGGAAAGAACAGCAGTTTCATGGCTCATGCCATGATATCGATTCCAACAAACTTGTTCCAGTACCAGATTTTTATAGGTCCTCTGTTGAATATTTATCATATTCTCTATGAATTGCTGGTCTCCCATTATCTAGTGCCTCAAATAAAATATGACAAGCTATCTTTTTTTATTTGTTGCATGTCCGCAGTAAAGGTATCCATTATAGAATACAATATTCATCCTGTAAAATCACATATGATATTTAGGAGTCAATAAAAGCAGGAGAAAGGTCTTACATTTACAAATATTGTCAGTCATAAAAACATACAAACATACAATTAAAATTCCATATGATAATCTATTAAATGTTGTATAACTAATCAATAAAAAATTAGGCATCAAATACACTTATTTTTGTGAGAGACATAATAACTTCTGCATAAAATTTAATGAAGTGCTCATCATTTCACAATTGTGAAATTACCTGGACTGAGTGCTTGAGTGTTATACTATTGAGGCCAAGCTAGAAAGGTGCACTTGTATATTGAATTCAATTTTATATTGCAAGTTGAAATTATTTTTTTGCACTCAAATTCAGTCAGTATTTTTTTTAAAATCGGGGGGTAATTAAGTATAGTATAGATTATTTAACTTACAAGATATTTGGTAAGGTTCGGAAATAAATAAATGTTTCTTTGTATTCACTTGCATTTTCAATTCGAAAACATTGCAACTGTCCACATCAGTTTCAATATTACAGAATACTTAAAAAAACGAATAACAACAAAATCTATGATAATATGTTGATTATCCATACTTCTTTCTTTATTTTTTCGAATAGTTTCTATTGGAGGTTAAATAATGTTGTTTCTGAATGTTAATCTCCATAAAATCTTTTTTTTTTCATATATTTTTTAATATTTTCAGGAAGACATGGCTTCAAAAAACTGGAAGCCCCTCTTCTAGAATCGACAAAGCCGTTTTCACTAATGAGAAAGATATAAATCAGCATACCTATGACTCCTTCAAAATAAAGAAATAGGTATATTCAATTCCTTTTCAGTATTTGTAAATTGATATCTAGTCAAACTGTATATGTGCTATATTAGTTTTCATGTAATATGAATGTGGTAATCGAAATCTGCCTTTTTCATTAGTTAAATCCCATATGTATAACTAAACTATTATCAGGGAGCCCTACATTATTTTTCAGATGATGCGAGATATCCTGGTTGTACCCCCCTCCCCTTAAAAATGGCGCAGTTTCAATTGAAGTGTGGAATAAAATTTTGTATCGGCAGTTAATGGAGAAAACCATCATTTGGGTTCAATTTTTCATGTCGAATTCTGTATAAACTATCTTATGTATTCGAAAAAGGGGAGATGAATATTTAGGTGAAGAAGTCAAAGAGATCATAAAAATCAATTAGTAAATTAAGTATAGGCTGGTGAAGCGCTAGAACAAATAGGCAATTTCAACAGAAAAACTGTAAAAAATACTTTATTTTTATGAATCTTGAGCACTTTCTGTCCAAGAACCAACTTGAACAGTCGACTTTTGCAAACAGCAAAAATATCTTAATACATTTTTTAGGGAATGCATGAAGAAAACATATTTTACTGTGCTTTTTATATGCCTGCCTATGCCTATGTTCTCGAATAAATTAGGATGAGGTCTAATAAGGTGTGAATTTTTCTAGTAGGTATACATTTGATATTACATTTCCTTAAGTTTCGCAATATGGAGCAATTGTAAAAAATTACTTGCAAAATAAAACTATGTAATAAATTTTCCACACAATTTTCGATACAAAGAACAAAAGATCAAAATTTCAAAGATCAATACATCATATAATAAACTCGCATCATCAATAAAATATGTCATGAAACACATACTTTTATATACCATCCTTTGCTCTTCAAAGAAAAAGGAAGACAAAACAGTTAACGTTTGCATTCAATCAAAAAGAACGGCAAAAGCAAAGCTGCAAAGCTGCCGAAACTACGACCGAAACCGAAACTGCATTCGGGAGTTCCCGCGATGTGATCGGTCATGTTCGGCGCGTTGAATTTCATATAAGCAACGAAGACATTTTGCCGATCCACGTGTCTAATCATGTCATGACTTACTTTGTGATTTACTTTTTTCATTACATAAATGTTAATTACCTATTGTGATATTAGGTAACAACTTGAATAAGTAATTTTATGTTTAATATTTTTGAAAAACCATTAATAATATTCAAAAGAAGAATCTACACCTACTCAAATAAACACCTCACCTAATCATCTAAAAGAACAATTGGTTCAGGCCAGTCTCAACTCCCTACACCGTAGGTTAATGGACTGACACCTATCAGAAAACAACTACTCCCCTGGCTAATACCACGAAGGGCGTTGGGTTATATCCGACAGGTGTCAGTGCAGGATTCTTCACTGAAGTTATTCCTGCATATGCTGTTGGCGATACAACTGCAATAGATTTTCAATTATTGGAACACTGACTGCACTGACACCTGTCGGATATAATCCAACGCTCTTCGCGGTATTAGCCAGGGGAGTAGTTGTTTTCTGATAGGTGTCAGTACATTAACCTACACTGTAGGGAGTTGAGATTGGCCTGAACGAATTGTTCTTTTAGATGATATATAGCCAGTCTTCAAGTATGCCCACTGACTATATGTGAAAAATACCTCATTTATTTTAAGTATTTTCAAGGTGCAATTGATATTTTTTTAAATAAGGGTTTGTTATGTTGATTATCAATAAGTAAAAATATCGAACACTGCATAACGTTGTGATTTAAAGATAAACAAATTAAGACTGACTGGTTGTTATAACGTTTTCTTTGTTTTTCCATCAAAACATAATCCTTGTAAGGACGTTTCGGTTTCGGCCGAAACTGCGACCATTGTTGAAATTCGGTTTCGGTCATAAAAACCAGTTTCGGTGGGACACTAGTTATTGTGGTATTCCTTGTTTTTTTTTACAAACCAAATTTGTTGGATGGATGTTATGGAAATGTTAATGGAAATCACACGTTAGTCCTTAGCTCGCATAAGTATCGACTTTTGAGACTTGTTCGAGTATTGTTCTCTGAATTCAAATACATTTTTCAGATGAATGAAGACAATTCACTATTATTATTATTTATACCTGTAAGGTTGCGCCGACACATTTGGAGGGCGCCCCGGCATTACCAACCAATAGAGTAGAGAGGAGATCATTAAAAAAAACTGTTTTTCCGTTAATCAGTTGTCGCCCCCATACGAATGACAACTCCTTCTTGAGAAACTTGTGCGAGCTGAGGACTAACGAGGTTAAGGAATCAAATAATCAGAACAACCATCTCCACAGAGTGGTATGGATAGAGTCTGTGGATTTTGAAGAGAAAATCTTGAATAATCGATCCGCTTTTTCTCCTCTTTTCGGACGATATTCGTCTTACTCAAAGTTGAAAACTCTACCACGAATATCGTTTCGCTGTGCTGGCCGAGAAGGACAACATCAGGCCCATTATCTTTTATGAACCCGAAGGTGGGAAAGCTCACTCGAGCCAAGGTCTTCCGTGTTGTTAAAGACAACTCAATGCATTGGCTTGCTGCAGGAGTGAAGTGATCTCTGTTGGTACTAACGGGTTCTAACTCGGTAACAGACGTATGATCACTTCGTTCAGTGTTGAAAACTAAACCGAGTTCTTCAGCCACTCAGGCAGCTGCATTAAAGAAAAATGCAGACCATGCAGAGAGGGAGATCGGAAATCCTAATGAATTTACAGGTTGAAAAATGAGAATTGAAACTTTCTGTTTTTTATCACTTTTATTTGTAACTAACGTTACTGCAGTTTTTTCTTATGAGGACATTTTCAAACGTATACTTTAAACTAATGATTGATTACATTAGCCCAAAAACACCACCTTTTCAATGCCAAAAATAAAATGGACAAGCTGGAGAAATCTGGAATTTATAAGCTTAAGTGTCCGGAGTGTGATAGTGTTTATGTGGAACAATGTGGTCGAAATTTCTCAAAACGGTATGCTAAACATAAAAGGTCCTTCAGACTAGGTAAAAATGATTCGACGTTTTCAAACCATTCCTTGGGATGCAATCATAAGTTCCCGAATTTAAACGATACAGAAATTTTGCACTATTCAAGGAAGGGTTGCCCAAGTTAGCATCATCAGGGGAAGGAGGAGATGACACCCAAAAGGGTCGAGGGTTTACGCGTTATGGAGTTAACGTTCGAAGGTGGGGGCAATGGGGGAGCGAAGTATTCGACAATGAAATAATTGCAAAATACGTTGTTTTGCGTGCGTTTAGACCGTTTTGCGTGCGTTTAGACCGTTTTGCGTGCGTTTAGACCGTTTTGCGTGCGTTTAGACCGTTTTGCGTGCGTTTAGAACGTTTTGCGTGCGTTTAGACCGTTTTGTGTGCGTTTAGAACGTTTTGCGTGCGTTTAGAAAGTTTTGCGTGCGTTTAGAACGTTTTGCGTGCGTTTATTCGTTATCGTTTCGTCGTCATTGTCGTAGCCGTTTTCGTGTTTGAATAACTGTACACCATTTGTTAGTTACGTTCAATATGAGATTGAGAGGAAAACGATGTTACATACGCCGTTGGTGAACAAAAATTAATAATATAATGGCATTCAGGGAATACAGACGTAAAGTAGAGGAATTTTAGAGACGTGTCCAACAATTGAGTAAAGATATTGAATTTTATGAGAAAAGGAAAAATGTTCTGAAGCAGTTGAATACTTTAGATATTCAAGACGAAGTGTTCAATCGAATGTGGGTGAAATTCATGGCAATATGTGTGAAAGCTAGTGACTATAGATGTAATCAATGAAAATCGATGTGTTCAACAGCAGTCAATGAGGGTCAGTAGGCAGTATTTGCAAGCGCGATTCCAAACAATACACCATTCAAATATAAATTGAGGTTGATATTTCGAGATCTTCGTCAATTGAATACAAAAACTGTTCAATTTGTTCCAGAACACGCAACAAGGCTAGAGAAAAAGAAATCACAAAAATTTGACGTTTATAGAGTTATCATAGTATCTACTATATCAGCATGTATTTTGATTCGAGTTGTACAATAATTATGAAATTTAATAAAAAAATTGATATTTTGGTTGAAACAAAGCTTTCAATATATTGAAAGCTTTGTTATGTTCACGGATTTTACAGGTATATGAAACGCAGGTACCGGATATCAGGTATATCAGATATATCAGGTATATCAAATCATTTATGCTAGAATAATATAGGTATAAATTACTTGGATTTAAATGTAATCAGTTAGTTTTGAAAATGGTATAATAGCCGAAACCGGTCAACAATAAAGAAATATAGTGGAAAATCGACAAAAGTGTGTTTTTGTAGTGTATCCTCAGTGAACATGAATTTCCACAAAATAAACAAGTCGTCAATCGAAGAAGACTAAACAAAGACTTTTTGATTTTCTTTGTTTCATTTCCGAATGTGTCATCACCTATTTTTCTATTCATACTCAAGGTGACATTGACCAATGTCAATGCTAAATCAACATCTGGAGATACGTACGCCTCAAAACGACGGAACAAAGGCTCTTTGTTTGATTTCATAATATGCCATCACTTATTTTCCTATAAATACCTCCTGCGTGGCGAAATGAGTTAGTTGTATCAGTTGAAAGTGATACCAGTGACAAGTGCACCGATTTTATTGGAATGTAAGTATTTTTATTTATTTTTTCATGCTCACTTTATGAGTTTTCATTGCAAGATTTTTTATACGTTTTTGATTATGATGAGTTTATTCAAATGTAATTTAATTCAAGCTGGTGAGAGTTGTTGTTGAATTATCATTAAATTTCCAGTTTGAATTTTTCTCAAATTAATTTACTTGAATGTTTTTTATGTATACTTTTTGAATGTTATCGTTTTTTTCCAATTAATTTGTAATACAAAACGGTTTAGAGGTAATTACGTATTCTTCGACCCAACCCTGGACTACTTTGTTTATCCTGCATAAACCTGAAGATAAGAAATGACAATTGCTGATATTCCTTTTTCAACGAACTCAATCTTTAATTATGAATAAAATATAATAACCGGTAATTGCTGACATCCATTTTTCTCGAATACTATACCTTACAATGAATAATTGTATCGTATAATTTGATTTGATGTTTTATTACATTACAGCTTCATAACGGGGAAATGTGATTATGAATTTTACTCGAGAATAATCCAAACTGAATAAGAGTTTTTCTCGTATATTATCTATTTGCCTTTAACAATGCCATAGCTTTTCTATATACATATTTGTAATGTTGTAACAAGCTCATTTTGTGACCAGGTTTCTAGTTGAATAAAACGCATAGTACGAATCTTTTCTTGTGTTGTTGTTTGTTGAGAGAGTGTTCGTATACTTTGTAATTTAAAACAAACTTTTTTTATTTTTGGTTTCTCGCAGGTGGATTTACAAAAATTGAATTCAAGTTCGGTCGTGGAGAGAAAACCAATTAACAAAATAACAGATTAACCTGTAGTGTAGAGACGCCGCAGAGAATACTGACAGCCAAAATCGTGAAAGGCAAATTTGGCGAGGAGGTGTTTTTGGATTTGGGCGAGAAAGTGTAATTTTTACCACACCGAGTAACGGAGGAGTATTACCCCCATTTGGAAGAATTTTCATCAGGAAAATATGCTGTCGTTTTTCATTTGAAATTTTACGAAATTAAGGTTAGTATTGTTTTCCCATTTTTTCTCCGTTCAATATATGTAAAAAGTTTGTGGTTGTATACTATATATTTTTTCGACTCAAAAATTTTTTCGTTCATACATATGATGCACATAAAGTAGTGTTTTCATATAATACTTTTTCTTTGTTCAGCAGCAGAATGTATTTTAAATTACTTGAATGACAGTTGATTTTTTTTTAAATTGTGTAGCTCACTCATTTCATGAAAGACATTTCCCCCTCTCTTGATAAAAATAGTTTTCTGGTGTGTGTTTGTATTGAAAATCGAATTTATTTCAGAACAATACATCAATGTGTGCAGTATCAATTCAGAGTCATCTCAACAACTACATCCAAAACTGTCTTAGCAACCTTTCCAGAACGAACTTCAAACCTCAGCAGCTTCCAGAAGCATCTCAACAATTTTCACAGAACGAGCTTCAAATCTCTGCAGCTTCCAAAACCGACTGTCATACCAAGAATTTCATTTGTGAACAAAGTATCGGTGAGTCATGTCAATAAATAAAATCCAAATGATTGATTTTTCAAAAATCAAGTCGATAATTGATAAATACATCTTACTCATCAAAGACACTTATTCAGATTATATTGCCAAACAAGCTATACAATTTATTAACAAACATAAAAGGAAATGCGTATTAGCTATGAAAAAAATTAAATTTTCGGTAGGGGGAAAAAAAAATACACAAATTGGGGAATTTAAACGCTTTAGAGTGATTATCAAAATAATGAATAATAAACATATAGGCTCGGGTTTGAAGCGACGAAGCTCCAGGGTAAAGTGGAAAATGTTAACAATGTTTTCAATAGTAGAGTAATAACGGGGGTAATCATCAATTTAACTCATAAAGATCCTAGAAAGTTTCTAGGCGATGATTTTTCATTATTCAAACGTGATATTTACAAAATTTCAAAACAAATGTCATGCCTCAAAGTTAATGTTACATTTTCAGGGAATTTTATTAAAAAATTGAATGATGGGGATATTGTTGATCGTAAATATTTCAGTACGCCAAATAAAGTTATTGATTCAGGTACGGACTGGACTGCTTGGTACAATGAAAATGCTGTAGATGTTATATTGAATAAATTAGGCAAATTTGAAGAACAGTAGGGGTGGGCTTTGAGTAAAACTATTTTGTTGGAAGTAGCAATAAATAAATATGTAATTCTCCAATGGACTTAACATCATATTTCCAAATTCGAAAAACTTAATATTTCTGTAAATGTTTACACGTTAGAATTGAATCAATTGAAGGAAAAATCATTTTATGTAGTAGTAGGTACCTGCTAGACTCACGACAATGAAACGAGACATGTTGAATTTTTCATTAATTCAAGAGAAATATTGACTAAAATTGAATGATTATGAGGCTTCACCTATTAATGATGACGAGATTGAAATTAAATTTCATTGTTTGTTTGAAAGTAGTTGACAATGTTTCTTGGTGCATTTTATTAGTTCGGACTTAATTGTCTAATATGATATAAATCGATTTGAAATACCTAAAAGAATCTGTAAAAAATAAAAAAGAGACTAGCTGAAAAATAACAATTATATCAAGCAAAAAAACTGAAATAACAATGAAATGAAATACAAGCAATAACCAAAAAATAAAAAAAAGAAAATTAAACTGTTACCACGAGATGAAAATTAAAAAATTATTAACAAGAAATGAAATTTAAAAATTGAAAAGATTCCAAACCAAGATAATTCACGACGTTTTGATTGTTAGTATCCACAATCGTCTTCCGGTGATAACTGGACTTATTCCTCCGAGATCTGACTATTTATAGGTCATTAGAGTGCTTTCACCTATCTCCTCTTCCCTCTCTCCGTTTCATCGGTTTTAGCAGAAGCTGACCGTTTGGCGGGGGTTGGTCGTGTTCCGCTTGATTAGTGGTTTCTATATGTTGCGTATCTCTACGCTAGCTTGGCTGAATGCTTTGTTAGACAACATTTATGCGGCTTCTTTGAATTTTCTCCTAAACCAGTGTTCTTCCCTGTGGATGATGTTATGTTGATGAGTCCAAACGTGCTCTGAAATTCCTGATTTGCTAATTTTTCCTTGCTGTGTGTAATTTCAGTTTTGTAATTTCAGTTTTTTTGCTTGATATAATTGTTATTTTTCAGCTAATCTTTTTTTATTTTTTACAGATTCTTTCAGGTATTTCAAATAAATTTATATCATTTTAGACAATGGAAGTCCGAACTAATGAAATGTTAAATTTAATTATTGTTGGATCAAAGATATGTCCCGATTATTAAGTAACCAATTGAACAAAAAGAAAGAAAAAAATCATTTTGTAATAAATGGCTGAATTATCAGTAGATGAATAAGGTGGGTACGAGCACAAAATCCCATGTATTTTCTTATGGAGCAAAACTTTTTGCAATTTTCATGACATCCGTTCGAAACCTTGTAGAACATCTAACTCGAGGTAGATGTGTTTCGGAAAGTGGGAGAGAGAAATGTTTGACGTAATCGATGCAGAATGGAATGAGTATCGTAGAGATTCAAAAAGCGTGTGTCCCGTAGGAACTCCGCTTCACCCCTCGGGTCCCCGTGGGACTCCGCCTCACCTCTCTGACCCCTTTGTCACGTAGCAGTCACGTGGTACTTAATAACAATAATAATATTTATTCCTTTGGTTGAAAAGTACAGTCGACAGAAATCAATGCACGATAAACAAAGAAAATGTCAATTATAAAAGTAAATGTATAAACATATAAATGTAAATAACTACATATAACCATTTTATAAAAGTCAGTCCAAATAATATGTAACCATATTATGAGTCAGTCAAAATAATATTATATACAACACAATAACATAAACAGTGATAAACATCCATAAGTAATAAAAGTAACATATAAATGACTAGTTATAGACTATAAAAAAGCCAATTAAATATAATCAACACACAATTTCTCAAGTATTGAAAGTAAACACTTTAACCAAATGTGCTAAAGCTCAAGATCTCAGGTTAGTTGATTGGTGAATTCTTGAATGGTGTAACAAGTCCTTTGAAGTAGCATTTTTTCAACTGACTTTTGAACACATTAACATTTGGGGAATTCTTCAGAGCTATTGGAAGCATATTGTATAATTTACACCCACTGTACTCTACGCTTTTTTCATACAAAGAAGTTCTATGAGCGTTTGGTACGATTAGATCTTTCGAACGAGCATTGTGGTTATGATTTGGAAGAGAGGACTGAAAATTAGATTTATTTTTGAAAACGTATGCACTAGCCTCTAGTATGTAGGTGCTGGCAACTGTAAGAATTTTTAGCTCCATATTTCTGGAGGAGAAATATCCTTTCAACTGAAGCACTCATACCCCAGTTGAGAATACCACATCCAAGGTGTGAATAGAAGTTAGCATGGTACAATGTTAAGAGTATACTAGATCTGCAATGATTTGATATGAATATAATAGAATAGCAGCTTTTCTTCAGTTTATTACATAAGGTATCAATATGTTGATTCCATATTAATTTTTTATCTAAAACAATTTCTAGCATATTTAAAGTTTCTACAGGGCTAATTGATTTTTCACAATTTTCATATAGTATCACATTCGAATCCCTTTGACCATGTCTGCTGAACAATATGGTGTTTGTTTTAGATTTTTTGAGTTTCAAATTGTTCTTTTCAGCCCACAATATGATTTTATCATATATATCCTCAGCAGTTTTATGGAGTGCCTCCAAGTTGTCTTCAACAATCAAAATATTTGTATCGTTTTACTGATGAACGTAGTTAGATCATTAGCAAATAACAAGAACCCTGATATCAAATCATCGCCTGTACATTGACCAATTCTCACTTTTTGCCTCCTACCTATAAGATAAGATCTCACCAAATCATGTGGTACCCTTCTTACACCTGATCTATAAAGCTTAGATAGTAACAGCTCATGGTCCACACAATCAAAAGCACGTCAGAAATCTATAAAAAGGCCCATGACACATTTTTTCCTGTCGAGAGCATTAAAAATTCTCGACTGAAATTCACATAGGGCTGACTCTGTACTCTTGGAGTTAGTGAAACCGTGCTGTGAGGATGACAATAGTTTGTTTTGTTCGTAAAACATAGTCAACTGTTGTTTTAGATTCAACTCGAATGGCTTGGAGAGACTTGACCTATAGTTGTCTAGGTCATTCACATCGCCTTTTTTAAATAATGGGCATATTGTTGCAAGCTTCAAATTTGCTGAAAAAATTCCATTCACAGAAGAGAGATTTATTAAATATGTCAGGGGATGACATAGTTCAAAACGGCAACTTTTCAGCAAGTTATAATAATAATAATAATAATCTTTATTGAAATAGGTAATCCTAATCTACATTCACAAAGTATAATCTTATATATAGTAATTAGCAGCTCCTTCGATAGTATTAATATATTTGTTTTGTTTTAAATTTAAACGTACACACTAGGTATTTACATTTCGAGTTATATTTTTCATTGTTTTGCTAAAAGAAAACCATTCAAGTACAGCCAAATACCATAATAATCATATACAATCCTACATATGAACCAATAAGAATGCTATCCCAATATACACTTATAGCCCGAAAGAAAATACATATATTGATACCATTCACCTACAGCCAAATACCACAATAATCATATACAAACATACATAAGAAACCAATAAGTTATGCTATCCCACTACCCACTATACACTCATATCCCGTAAGAAGATACATATATTAATACTCGTATTGATACTAAAAATTATTAATCCTGATAGATATACAATACAACGATTTTACTTTTGCTGTAAATGGTTTATCATTTTTATTTTAAACTGTTGCAGAGTTTCTGATTTCTTTATATCATCTGGCAACCTGTTGTAAGCAATGAATCCCTTGAACACCAAGGTTTTAATATTGTAAGCTTTTGTTTGCCTAGTCACATGTAAGTTATGTTTACTTCTCGTATCATGCTGGTGAACTTGCGTATTGATAGTTATATATTTGTGAAAATATGATGGAAGAAGATTATGCAACATTTTGAAGATATAACTCATAGTTAAATAAATAAGAGATAAAATCATGACCAGAAGCATTGGGATTTTTTAGTTGAGAAGTGAGCTCTAAGACATCACTCTCACAAAGAAATTTAGATCATAGCACCTGTTTTCAATCAACGGTTTAGTAAAATTCTCATTGAACATATTAGCTAGTTCTTTTTCATCAATATCATCATCCTTAAGTTTAACAGTTATTGCACTATTTTGTTTAGATTTTTTTTGAATTTGATTAATGATCTGCCAAGTAGTTTTAAATTTGTTATCAGAATTCAGAATTGAATAATCATGATACTCTTTTCTTGCACAACCCTAATTTTTCTCTGTAAAGTTTACTGTAATATTTACTTATTTCTTTGTAGTTGTCGTCCTCCTTAGCAATTGAGGTATACAAAGTTACATTTTTTTTAATTCTTGCAATTCAGGTGTCATGATATAATCATTGCTCTTTCTTGTTTGTATGGTGAATCTCCTTAATGGAAAGGAAATTTCAAAATAATACAATAGCATCTCTGAGAAAACATTGTAGGCCAAGTTTGGACAGTCTAGTGCATACATTTCCGACCAATGTTCATTTCCCAAGTAGTCCTGAAATCTTGAGATGTTTTCTTTACAGAGATCCCTGCGGAAGTAGTAATTTTTTGTTTTATTACCACTTTCTTTTACAATGTGATCTTCCATAACTAAAAATTGTGCAAAGTGATCAGATATATGCAAGTCCTTCACTGTTACTTCAAAGTGCCTATTACATTTAATATTTTAATCAATTCAAAAAGTTTATTGGTATGAGATTTGAACGCAGGTCGTCGGCGTGGTAGACGTTGTTCTTAGCCTCGACACCAACTTGGAAGTAATTGCGAATTGTTAATATTTATAGCGGTTGTTTTGTCGGGACTGAGATTGACTAATTTTTTATACTTAACCTCATTTCTGAATTTCCGTAGAATTTTAGGGAAATTGTAATGTCATTTCCTTGTAGAAGATACAAAACTATGTATTAGATTTAGGGAAGAATTGATGTTTCATATAAAGGTGTGTGTTTGAAAGAGCGAGAGAAACTCGTGTGACGTAATCGATGCCAAGAGAGATGGAGATGGTATCGAGGTTATAAGTCGCCAGAGCAAGGACAGTTTCGGTGTTGTCGGATGTATAGTAATTCGCTGTTTATGGGGAAATGTAGCGTTGCCGGTTTTAAAATTAAGCATGAAGGGTTAGGAATACGACTCGATAGAAATTGTATATTGGAAGCGCGAAAGTGATATATTAATAATGATGAATCAGATTTAGGAAACAATTCGACAGTTTTACATTTCAACGTGTCACGACCAAACAAATATAATTCCAACTAGTCATGGAATCTCTGCAGTTGATTCAGTGGGATGTCCACTGCGCCTCCTGCAGACAGAGCCAGGAAACAACT